TTTTCCGGCCCAATTTTTAGGCACAAATTTTCGGGCCCAATCTTTTAAGTCCAAATATTCAGGCCCATTTTTAGTCTCATATTTCCAGGTCCAAAATTTCAGGCCCAAATTGTTTGACCCAAATTTTTAGGCCCAGATTTTTAGGCCCAGATCTAAGTTCTAAACGAAAGTAAAGATATATGCATTTTATGCTCTGCTTTAAATAATATAATTAAAAAATAAACTATGATAGATAAATGATAACATCAACCATAAAAATATATCTTAGATTTTATCTTAAAACCATCCAATGTTTAACTACGTACATAAACTGGTATAAAGACTAATACTCAACGAGGATTACATCGCAAAACCATATAATACATTTTTCGATAGAAATAAAACTACTTGAATACCATAAAATTAAAAATGCAAATATAAAACAAAACTAACTACAAACCTCCAAAATCTATATATTTTCAAGGCAGCAAGAGCAAAATGAGCAACCAAAACCATTTGTTAATTACAATCTACAAACCTACACTTTTCCTGCAACTTATAAATACTCGGCCTTCGTGCACCTTCCATGAAGCAACCCAAATGATAGATTAACAGAGGCAGAGAGGAGGTCTTCAATCTTCGGCTGTCACATCCATCTTACGAGTCTGAGAGTGAAACATTTCAGCTATTTCTGCTGCTGTACTACATTCCTCGGGGTTTCTATCCAACACAGACCGAATAAATCTAGGAAATCTTATTGAAATGCCACGGGAAGAGTGAACTAAACCTATGGCAGCTTGGTGAACGGGTGACACTGTGAAGTCTGCACCTCGGATTTCCCAAACAAGTACTGGAGGAAACCACATGTCTGGCACCTCCGCTGTTCTATAATAAACTGGCCTTTTGGATAAGATCTTATCATCAGAGTAGAATTCCTTCATCTGAGATTAAACATAGAAAAGAACAGTTATATAATGGTAGAAAAATTCAGTAATAAAAAAACTTCACAACTAATTTGTAATGGTCAAAACCCCAATCTCCATGTTGTTTAGTCAAAGAAGTTCAAACATGAAAGCAAATCTTTTATCTGGAACCACAACGTAAATTTTGTCATATTCTTAGGTTTGAAAACCCAGAAAACGTTATCCCCATATATAGTATAGAAGATCACTGGATGTAATAATAAAAAAACATGGTTCTAGAAGATCACTGTAATTGTAGATCTTCAGTGATCGACCTCTTAAATTTATCAAACAGCAGAAGATACTTTCATGTTCTATAACCATGAAGATTTATTTTCAAATAAGCAATAAAACATACCTAATAGAGAAAAGAAAATAACCTTGTAGTATTGCAAGTAGTCTAAAATGTTCTGATACTATTAACCTTCATATTTTTACCTCTGCATAAAAAGAATCT